GGTTATCAGCTCAACACCGGCCCCCCCGGCAGCCTCGGGCGCGGCGACGGTGACACAACCGGCGGCGGTCGGTCTATCGGCCGTCGCGACGGTGCATGGGGGCGACGGTCCGCCGCCCGATCCGGCGCCGGTGCCTCCCGGCCGACGGGATGACCTTCCTGTACGACGGGAGGTACGACGGGCCTGCAAACGCTCGGCCCTTGAGGCGGCGCTGCCGGAACACCGGCAGGAGGCCCTGGCCGAGCTAGACGAACGTCCTGGCGCGCTCGTCGCAGGGACCCTTCCAGTCGAGGGTCTGCACCTGGGTCGACTTGTGCCAGGCGTGGGCCGTCGAGCCCTGGCCCATCTCACTGGAAGCGGTTCGCAGCGTCGCGGCGTCGCTGCGTCGCGGCGGCTATCGCTCCGCCCAGAACTACTTCGACGCGGCGGTGGCCTATCAGGAGCGGTTCCGGGAACAGGCGGTCGACCCGCTGCTCAAGAAGGCGATGCGGCGTTACACCCGGGCGGTCCTCCGGGGCCTACCCGGCAGCCGGCTCAAGGCAGTGTTCCCGGTGGACCGGCTGACCACCCTGGTGACGATCAGCGACGTCCCGGCCGCTCGGGCGTGGTCGCCGTGGACGTCGGCGCACGCCGCGGATGCCCTCCTCCTGGCGGCTTGGTTTATGCTTCGTGAGATTGAGTTCGTGGCGGCACGGACACAGGACCTTGAGGCGGCCGGCGGCACCGTCACCCTCCGGGTACCCTTGCACAAGGCGGCCACCGGCGGCCAGACAGAGCTGACCATGCGCCAGCTCAGGCGCGCCTGTCGTGCGTCGGTGTCGCCGCTGTGCCCCTACCACGCGGCGGTCAGGCACACGGACCGCCTCAAGGCGGCGGGGCTTTGGTTCAGGGATCGGCCGCTCTTCCCGGACAGTTCCGGCGCTACTTGGGAGAAGTCGTCGGCCATCCTTCTCTTTCGTCGGGTCCTGGTGGCCGCCGGCATACAGACCACTTCGGTCGACCACACCGGCGCGCCGGTCCAGCTATTCGGCGGACATCTGGCCAGGGTGGCCGGGGCGTCGTGGCTGGCGTCCAAAGGCGTGCCCGCCCCTGTCATCCAACTACTGGGGCCGTGGTCCTCGGCCGCAGTCGAACGATACATTCAGGCAGCACCCCTGGCGATGGCCCCGGACGTGCCGCACCGGGTGCTGCACCAGGCGACGGGGTGCCCGCCACCGACACTGGAGATTGGCTCGGCGGTGGCGCAGGCCCCGGCGGCCTCAACCCAGCAGGCGCCGCCCCTCATGGACATCGACCGGACCGGGAACACTGGGGTCCCCCGGCAGGACTCGTCACCGGCGGAGTTTTCACCCGCGGTCGACTTCGTCCCGGAGCCCACGCCCGACCCGGCGGCCCTGACAGCCGCGACGGGGACGGCGCCCGAGCACTATATCTACAACGCCAAGGCGCTGAGAGTGCACGCGGCTGACCCGGCTGAGGCCTCGGCTGACAGGTTCCTCTGGAAAACCAAGGGGTGCTCCTGGCCGTACGGCGTTCGGGCCTTTTACCGCATCACCGACAAGCCGGCGGATGCGGCGTGGTGTTTGCGCTGCTTCCCCCAGTTTCGGGACAAGCCGGCGCCGGGCTCGCCCACCGAAGAGGCGGAGTCACCGGTTGCATCTAGCTCTGCCTCCGCGGACTCGTCGGAGTCGTCGGAATGAACGCTCTGGGCTGAAGAAAGGCCCTAGTCAGGTTGTAGCCGGCAGCCCGTCTGAGTCAACAGCCGGCCCGTCGTTTAGTGCCGCGTCTCTGCTCTGTTCGCCCCGCCTCCCGCCCTCGTCGCCGGTGCCATGGCTTCGGCGGCTTTGGTCTCCTCGGCTATGGTGGAATTCCCCACGCTGGCGGCGTCGGCTGGTGCCGGCCCCGACATGCTGGCGTGCCTTGAGGCGCGCTCCCTCAATCGCACTGCCACGCTGGCGGTCGTGGCGGACACCTGGAAGAGCGTGGATACCAAGGTGTTCCGGCCCTTTCGCGACGGCGTCGTCGTGGCCGGCACCATGCACAAGGTGGACGACGAGGAGGCACCGGTCGCACAGACAATCCTACGCCACATGTGGTCGGAGGCGAGGAGGCAGTGGGACCTGTTTTCGGCCCCGCCTCCCCGGCCGGCACCGGCCGCGCCGGCCCCCTCACCGGCCTCGGCTTCGCTGCCACCTGGCCCTGGCGATAAGCCGCCCAAGGGCTTCCCGGAGTGGGGTCGACTCGTCGACGCATATAACAAGGTCCTTCTGGGCGGCGAACC